AAAAAAAAAAAAAAAAAAGAATCCCACTCCATTGCTCAGACTGGAGTGCCATGGCATAAGCCTAGCTCATGGGAACCTCAAAGTCCTGGGTTCAAATGATCCTCCTGCCTCAGCCTCCCAAGTACCTGGGACTATAGGAAACCACCCCCATGCCTGGCCAATTTTCCTATTTCTTGTTGAGCCAGGGTCTCCCTATGTTGCTCAGGCTGATCTCAAACTCCTGGCTTTGAAGGGATCCTTTGGCTTCTTCCTTCAAAAGTGCTAGGATTACAGGTGTCAGCCACTACATCTGGCTCTTTACCTGTACTTTTAAAACTTGATTTCAAACTTGTTTGGTTAAAATAAGTAGAAAGGATTAGGTTTTTCCTTGGTATTAAAGTTACATTTTAAAAAATGATGCTAATAGCTAACTTGTTTAGGCCTTATTATATGTCACCCTTTATATCAGGTGTCAAAAAACATTTTCTGCGAAAGGCTAGATTTCTCTGGGCCAAAAGGTCTCTATTGTCCCAACTACTCAACTCTTGTCTATGTAGCATGAAAGCAGTCTCAGACTTTGTGTAAATGCATGGATGAAGCATGCAACTAAAACCTGTTGGCTGTGGTTTGCTGTTCCCACAATCATGATTTATGTGATTGTTTTGTCCTCCCCAAGTATTGAGATTGCTGGCTTTTTAAAAATGGTGATGTATTTGATTTGGGCAGCGCCTGTGGCTCAGTGAGTTGGGCACCGGCCCTGTATACCAAGGGTGGCGGGTTCAAACCCGGCCCTGGCCAAACTGCAACAAAAAATGGCCGGGCATTGTGGCTGGCACCTGTAGTTCCAGCAACTCGGGAGGCTCAGGCAAGAGAATCACCTAAGCCCAAGAGCTGGAGGTTGCTGTGAGCTGTGCCACCATATTACTCTACCAGGGGTGACAAAGTGAGACACTGTCTCTTAAAAAAAAAAAATCCTGCTCTCCCTTCTACACCTTGCAACCACTGATCCTTTTACTATTACTGTAGTTTTTGTCATTTCCAAAATGTTAATATAGTTGGAGTCATACAGTATGGTGCTTATTTGTTTATTTATTTATTTGGGAGACAGAGTCTCACTATGTTGTCCTCTGTAGGGTGCTGTAGCATCACAGCTCACAGCAACCTTAAACTCATGGGCTTAAGTGATTTTCTTGCCTCAGCCTCCCAAGTAACTGGGACTACAGGCACCCACCACAATGTATGGCTATTTTTTTGTTGCAGTTGTCATTGTTGTTTAGCAGGCCTGGGCTGGGCTTGAACCTGCCACCCTTGGTGTATGTGGCCAGTGCCCTAACCACTGAGCTACGGGTGCCGAGCCTATGGTGGTTTTTTAGATTGTCTCCTTTCACTTAGTAACATGAATTTAAGATTCCTTCATGTTGGCAATGCACTGTTTCTCACCCTTGTAATCCTAGCATTCTGTGAGACCAAAGTGGGTGGATCACTTGGGCTCAGAAGTTTAAGAACAGCTTCAGTAAGAGTGAGAACCCATCTCTACTAAAAATAGAAAAACTACCCCTACACTGTGGCCCATGCTTGTAGTCCCAGCTACCTGCCAGCCAGAAGCAAGAGGATCACTTGAGCTCAGGAGATTGAGGTTGCTGTAAGCTGTGATGCTACAGTACTCTAGCCTAGGGCAACAGAGTGAGACACAGTCGCAAAAAAAAACAAAACAAAAAATAAAATTAAAAACTACAAAAACAGGGCGGTGCCTGTGGCTCAAAAAGGTAGGGTGCTGGTTCCATATGCCAAAGGTGGTGGGTTCAAACCCAGCACTGGCAAAAACAACAACAACAACAACAAAAAAACTACAAAAGCAAAACAAAAAACCCTGTCTTTTCATGGCTTGATAGACCATTTCTTTTTTTTTTTTTTTTTTTGAGACAGAGCCTCAAGCTATCCCCCTGGGTAGAGTGCCGTGGCATTACAGCT